TATTATTATTATTATTATTATTATTATTATTATTATTATTATTATTATTACATGTACATGCGTATGTTGTTGAACACTACCATAAATTATATTAATATTTATATTATAAATACCTACGCGAATCTTGTCACCGGACAAGACACGTGGAACACGTTTTTGACCCCGAGAAGAGAAGACACGAGATTCTCTCTTTTACAACAAAAAAAATAAAAATAGAAAACCAAATATAACAGTTAAATTGTACACACTGCCATATTATATTCTATACATTTTTGGGCCAACGACGATAGTACTATGGTGCCGATCGAACACAATGACAGTTCTGTATTGTACGAGTATGTATGCTTACTAAACATATTTAAAAAAAAAATTGTTCCTTGGCCATTTTTTCACTTTCCATTTTAAATTGATAAATTATTATACACGCGTAAACATTTTTTACAGTAACAGTTTAGAAAAATAAAAAATATTCTCAACTTATTCGTTTTCATAGATATTTTATTGTTATTATATAAAATACATGCAATGCGTGTCTTGAGTTAAGATGTGTTAAGAGTTCCTTTAGAGCCAATTCTGGCGAATGATTATCATAATATATGTATTTTTTTCTAAAAAAATATTCTCTCAACATATAATCTATATTATGTTCGCGTCTAAACTAAATATTCCCATAGATAACAGATCATAAATAATTATTCTATTACCTTTAGCTACTCATATATAACGTCCTATGAACCTACGACGGGATAGTTAATATTTTATAAGTAAATTATATATGTATTGATGTTCTGGTTAATTGCGTGTGAAAAGCTAACCAAAGATTCCATAGATGTAATATTATTGATATGAGGCAAAATGTGGTCAAGGAACTTTTGTCACGCAAATACGATTTGTTTTTTTTGTTTTTTAGAATTTAAAATTATTTTAGAAAAATTATACGCCTAAGTATTAAATACATTTATTATTATTATTATTATTATTATTATTATTATTATTATTATTATT